TGAATCATTTTGCTACAAGAATTGAATTAGATCAATTTAGTAAAAGATAAATTGATATGATTGTTTATTAGTTTAAAGTTTCATCTAAATGTTTTCAAGGAGTTACAAATTTTTTCATCAAATTTGGAACTCAAAAGTTTTTTTAACGAGTTACAAATAAATATTAGTTTAATTGGTCTTAATGTTTTTGAAGAGTTTTATAAGTTATGAAACTTGAAAAGTCTCATCTTCATAAAACAAATTAACTCCTTAAGTTTTGGAGTTCAAAAGTTTTTCAAGAATTACAAAACTTTCCCTCAAGTTTTAAATGTTGAAAAGTTTCGATTAAGAAACATTGAATTCATAGAAACTCTAGTAAATTGAAAAGTTTTCAAAAAATGTAACTCATGGGTTCATAACTTAAAATTAATTAAATAGTTTTAGTTTGATTTAGCATCTTGATGTTTTGAATAGTTCAATTAATTCTTATGGACTTTATTAATAGTTAATTAAATGTTTAATTAAAAGAGTATTATTAAATCCATAATCATATGGTTAAGTTTAATTAAATTAAGAGTATAATTTATTAATAGATTAAACCATCAAGTATTTTAAAAGTTTAAAATACACCCTTATACTATATAAAATTTAAACTTTAATATATTATATATGTATAAGTAATGTCAGTATTACCGTTAGTAGGCCTCATTCATGAAGTCAATCTATAAGCGGGTATAAGGAAACTGCCTATAAAATGGCAGTTGAATGGGTGTCCACTCTCACCCACTGCTTCCTTGATTAGTGGAGGGTCGTTAGCCAAACGGGTAGGATAGGACACAAACTCCCACTTAAAGTATGATGAACATCCCAAGTAACTAAACATGTATAAATTTCCAATCTTAGTTACTTAGGAAAAATGTGAATTTGGTGCTAATCTAATCGAACTTGAGAAGGGAAAGAAGAGGAAGGCTCCCTACAAGAGCCGCAAAGGAAAGTCTCTTGACGGACCCTCTTCAAGTAGGACCAAATTTGGTTCTGCTAATCCCTCCTCCAATCCGAAGGATGCAGAGTGCTTCCATTGTCATGAGAAAGGGCAATGGAAATAAAGTTGCCCCAAGTACTTGCAGGACGGCGAGATCAAGCCCTCCTTTGCAGGTATTTACATTACTCAATCTAATAACTCATCACATGCAAATTCTTGGGTCCTTGATACAGGTTGTGGATTTCACATTTGTTCTTATTTGCAGGGACTAAAAACAAGTATGGATGTGGAGCACATGAAGATAAACTTAATCATGGGAAATAGGAAAGTGTCGCCTGTGACCAAGATTGGAGTTTATTCTTTATTGCTTAGTAATGGTTTAAATTTCGATTTGAATAATTGTTGTTACTTGGCCGATATGGCGAGAAATATTATTTCCTTTCACAGTTTGTATAAACAAGGTTTTACATTTTCTTTTAATAATGAAATTAGTGGTATTAATGCTTATTGTAAAGGTGTATTTTATTTTGAAGCATTAACTTGCAATGGTATATATGAAACTGTGATGGTTGTAGATAACTTAGGAAATAATGTGTTACACATTGATTCTTTCAATGATTTGGATAAGGCATGCTTGTGGCATTGTCGTCTTGGACACGTCAACAAGAAGCGCATAGCCCAACTCCAAAAGGATGGAGTTTTGGAGTCATTTGACATGAAGTCGGATGACACTTGCGGATCTTGTTTACTTTGAAAGATGACCAAGTCACCCTTCACTGGTGTTGGAGCATGAAAATGCTCTACAATGTTGAGTGTTTATTAGGTTAGAATATTCCCTTGTATGAAAAACATATTCCCTCCACTTGTATATAAAGTGGAGGTGATGGTCATTTTTAGTATTAGTGTTCACTATGTAGACTTTGTAGATTAGAGAGAGTGTGGTGGGATCTCTCCCACCATGGGAGAGTTATCTCTCCCAACCCATGAGTACAAACGGGTCTTATAGTATCTTAGTCTAACAATCTACATCTCCTTAAATCTCTCATCATGAATGTACCTTTGTACCACTACGTGTGGTACAAAGAAGCTTAATGGATCAGGTTGGGAAACCTGGTGAGTACATAGGGTTTTCAACCCATAATAATAGACTTACTGTGTTTAATTTTCAAACAATTAACCCAATTATTCATCCCTATTTTCTTCTATATTTATTCTAAGATCCCCTCCTAAGAATCATCACCTACATCGCCATTTCTTATATAATCATCACCTATCATCGCATTTTATATTTTCATCGCTAAGGGCTTCTCTTAATGCTCGTCACTTATCATTACAATTTATATTTTTCATTGCTAAGAGATGTTCCTATGGGTTATCGCATATCATTGCATTGATAGCATTGCTTCGGGGATTCCTCTGAAATACATGTTGGTAGAGTACATCACATGAATACACAGTTACAGGTTGCAATCATGCCGGTGTTCCACTGGATTGTTTTAGATTAGTCCATGGTCGTCATCCATACTTTGGTAGATGACTACATCACAATCATCACAATACATTATCATTATGGGCTAGGGCATCTCTTAATCATGGTTAAAGACCTCTCCTAAACTTTTTTCATCTATCATCTCCCATCTCTCATCACCTATTACTACCCTATATATATATATATATATATATATATATATATATATATATATATATATATATATATATATATATAATATGAAAATACTTATATTATTAAATTGAGTAAAATCATATCACGTAGGATCATCCAACACATATTGCATATAATAGGGACATATAGAATTTCATTATCTAAATACTTCATATTCATGTGTAAGATGAAAGTAACTACGCACTCACTTGAATAACATACTCTTTGTTTATTATTAGTTAATATTGGACCACATAGTGTTGGTGACTTATACAAGTGGGAGACTGTTGAAATAGTGTCGACGGTCACAATAATTAACAATATTAATATTAATGTCGAAGTCCTCTTGGGTTACACACAATAGAAAGTTTAAGCAATTACTCATATGAGAGAATAATAAGGATATAGTTTGTCAATTTGCTAGTGATTAATAAATTAATAGAAACTTGTAGAACTTGAGGGGTTTAAATGGAAAGATTTGAAAGTCAAATCTTATAGACAATTATTTAGTGACCTAGTAATTATCCTATAATAATTCTAAACCCTCCATATGTAAATAGACGAGTCTAGGACCAACTTTAGATGTGTTGTAAACCCTAGAATTCAGTTGCCACTCATCCCACTTTAAAAACTCTCAATCATCTCAAATGACACAATGTATTTTTATACTTGACGCGATAGACACCCTAATCGTTTAGGGTTTAGTGTGTTGTGGTTTCTAGAGGTTGCCAAGGTTATTTTGTTGTTTCCATGAGTGTGACTACCTCAAAGGAATCTTACTTTGAATTCTACACATCCAATCAATTAATGAGAAAAACAAAAGACTTTGAGGTTTTTTTTTAATTTTTTATCTTTCTATGTTATGCTTGTTTTTTTTATTGTATTAGGTGAACTTGGATCTATTTTTAGTTTATGGGATCATTTTATATGTTGCTTCCGTTGTGTCTTTGTGATTTTTGTATCTCTGTAACCCAACATGTATAAGGTGGCGTGTGTATAACAATAGGGAGTATTGGGAATGGTTGGGTGCGTGTGTAGCCGTGTAGGATAGGTGTGGGGAGTGAGCATGCATGAGATGGTTGTTAGGCATGGATAAATATGTGTATAGGGTAGTTAGGGATAGGTGGGTGGGTGTCTATGTGAAAGTTTGAGTGACAGGATAAGTGGTGGGTAGGGATGAATAGATGTGTGGAGATGAGTGTGTGATATGTGTTTATATTTTAGAAAAAATTTGAAAATATAATTTATGAGACGCAAACATGGAAAATAATCAGTGTTATATTTATAACTTATTTGTAATTTTTGAAAATAAAAAATTCTACTTATTTGGAAAAACAAAATTAATATCAACCCGTCAAAAATTTCATTAAATTTTTTTCCTACATAGAATTTCTACAGCCAAACACCCATTTAACTTTTATCTTTTAATAAAAGCAAATAAAAAGACAATTTTAAAATTATGAGTTTAATAATTTTAACTATTATTGAATAAAAAACCTCATAATACAAAAACCAATTTCAATACTTTTAGGATCCAACACACAAATATTGCAGAACTGTTTATATGACTAATTCTATATATACCTCATATACGTGAGTGATTTTTTTATATACGTGAAAACCGTTTATATCAGTGAAATGTTTTTTTTTTTCAAATTAAAAAGGGACCAACTAATCCTAAAAGTGTCAAAATCGAATGAACAATTTGCTATATAATGTTAATATAATTATTCCTAAAACAAAGAAATTACTATTAGATATAAATTCGAAATACTAAATAGTTACTGGTGCGAGTATGTTACGTGGGATGGATATATAATATCAATATTACATCATTAGAGTTGTCGAAATCAGATAAGTTGGTTAACAAAATCAAAATAATAAATAGTTTTGATCGATAAATTACACAAGTTGTTGATTCATCAATTTAATTGTATTATGTAACCCATAAAAAAATAAAATATAATTAAAAAGTCAAAACCATTTTGATCACCGATAGAAACGATGTAAAAAAAAAGCTTTGGTAGCATTAATTGTCTAAGCCTTCTCTCACTCCAACAAAGGAAAAAAAGGAAAAATCATTGACTGACTGACAACCCCATATGATTCCATTCCATCCCCAAATCATATAAATAAAACCCTTACCTGATATGCATATGACATGACCTATTCCGGCCGGCCAACTACCATTTTGTTCGGAAAAATATAACCTTTGACGGTGGAGCTAATCAATTCTTCAATGGCTTCTTGATTTTACTATCACAATCAACCGTCGATCTACACTCCTTCCACCTCCCTCTCCGTTAGAACCCTAATTTATCACCCATACACATACCCAACCTAATAATTTCGCCATTAATAAACCCACTACCGGTGATGACGACCATAGAAGGGCAAGATAGAGTCTTGGCAACGGCTCAACAAATTGTCAAGAGCCTAAACATCAATACCAAAGCAACCGAGGATATGATCTTGATTCTCTCCAGTTTTGATAATCGGTTGTCTAACATCACCGATTTGATGGAGGGAGGTGCCGGTGATCGGTTTGTGTCAGCAGAGAAGATTATCCTCCGGCATGATTCAGGTCTCGGTGAACCTTCGTCCAGGAGCTCTTCGCCATGGGAAGAGTCGTCTACAGAAGCTGCTGAGTATTTGGAAGCTGTTGACACGATTATCCAGTTAACGGAAGACCTCAATATCCAGTCCGATGCCGACAGCGAGATCATGGATCGAGCTGAAAACGCGCTCCAGTTAGCTATGTCGAGGCTGGAAGATGAGTTTCTTCATATTTTGATCCGTAACACAGTCCCTCTTGACATAGATCGACTCTATGGATCGATCCGCAAGGGTTCATTCTCGTTTCCGTCAAACGGGATTGAAATTGGGGACGATTTTGAAAGTTACAGAGAAGATGAAGATGGTGGGAGCGGAAGTGGGTATCATCACGAAAGAGGCCCGAGCTTAGGTGGTGATGTTTTCGTCGATTTGATCCATCCTGAAGCAATCAAGGAGCTGAAAGCCATCGCCGATCGGATGATTAGGTCCGGCTATGAAAAAGAGTGTTGTCAGGTTTACAGTAACGTCCGGCGTGATGTCTTAAACGAGTGTTTATCCATTCTAGGAGTTGAAAGGCTTAGTATCGAAGAAGTACAGAAGATTGAATGGAAAATTTTGGATGAGAAAATGAAGAAATGGATTCAAGCGATTAAAATCGTGGTCAAGGTTCTCCTATTTGGGGAAAAACGATTATGCGAACAAGTATTCAGCGAATCCGAACTTATCAAAGAAATCAGTTTCGTTGAAACAACAAAAGGATGTGTGATGCAGCTGTTGAATTTTGGGGAAGCAGTTGCAATTGGGCAAAGATCTTCAGAAAAACTCTTTCGAATTCTCGACATGTATGACGCAGTTGCAGATGTTTTCCCTGATTTCGAATTTCTTTTCACTTATGAATCTGGAGAATTAGTCTGCAACGAGGTGAAGGTGGTTTTAACCGGATTAGGTGAAGCAGCCATTGGAACATTCATCGAGTTCGAGAACGCTGTAAAGGGTGAAAACTCCAAAAGAGCTTTACTGGGTGGCGAGATTCATCCAGTTACACGTTATGTCATGAACTACATCAAGTTACTGGTGGATTATAGCGATTCTCTAAACACCCTTCTACCCAACACTCAAGAACATGATCCGATTTCAAAAGAACTTGATGACATCGACAGCGGTGATACTCTCTCCCCTATTTCTTGCCGATTACTATCTCTAATCACTACTTTAGAAGCAAATCTTGACGAAAAATCAAAATTATACGATGATATCGCACTTGGATACATATTCTTGATGAACAACATCCTTTACATCGTTCAAAAAGTAAAAAACTCAGAGCTTCGAAACCTTCTTGGGGACAGATGGATTCGGAAACATCGAGGGCAGATTCGTCAATGGCACACAAGCTATCTGAGAGCAGCATGGGGGAAGGCGTTGTTGTGTTTGAAAGACGAAGGCGGGATTGGTGGGGGATCAAGTAGTGCATCGAAGTTGATTTTAAAAGAGAAATTCAAGAACTTTAACGCGTGTTTTGAAGACATTTACAGGGTGCAATCACTTTGGAAAGTTCCAGATGATCAATTACGTGAAGAGCTTCGAATATCGATATCTGAGAAAGTTCTTCCTGCATATCGTGCGTTTGTGGGGAGACATGGTAGTCAATTGGAGAGTGGAAGACATGCAGGGAAATACGTGAAATATAGTCCTGATGATTTGGAGAATCATTTGTTGGATTTGTTTGAAGGGAGGCCTACTGTTTTGAACAACATAAAAAGAAAAGGTACATAAAGACTGTTGTTAACAGGTATGTATGTTACTTTTTACTCTGCTGCTTCTGGTTATATCTTTTGAATCCAGGATGATGATGATGATGATTTGGTGTTAGTTTTTTTTGTTGTTGGTATTATAGGGTTTGGGCTGAAGGTAGTTATTTATATATAGCCCACACCTTGATATACTGTAATAATTTTGTACATGTATTATTATGTTAGATTGTTCTCCTCTATATGTATAACTTATGTATACATTCTCATGAATACATCAGGTGTTGCACTAAAATCATGTTATGAGTTATTGGATTTGGTTTTGGTTTTTTAAATGCAAAGTGAAAGCATGTTCGTATGTTTCGTTCATTCATGATATATATCATGTTTGGTAGATCTTGTAGGGCATTTCTTGTCATATTTGAGACATGAGTTTGATGTTTTTGATGGATTGTTGTTTCATTGTTTAAAATTCCTAATAACTCTGTCTTGAAGCTTAACCTAATTAATTGAAAAAAGTGCTTAGTATAAGATGTGCAGCATGTGTATTGATATGTTGCCACATGCATACCATTACATGTTTTTATAATGTCTTTATGCATATCAACCTTCCATTTTTGTATGGGTTTTGGGCGACCCTGTTATTTGTCATGCTCGGGATCAAACCAGATTGTAGTAGGAGTGTGCACTTTGAATCTCGTAACATGTATTGAGCTTAACTCAAATCTCCTTCGGTCTTATGTAAATCTAAATCATCTAAAATCGTTGATGACACTGAAATCACCAACCATTCAAGCTAAGCTAAGTATTCTAGGTGTCTGACAAGTTAGGTGGATACGAAGGGGGAGCTATTCGAATGGATCTTTTAAGTGGGGATTTGCAAAAGAACTTGAAACCGAATAGTCACATTGAACCGCATTGGAAAAACCCATAGTTTGGTTTTTGGTTTATAGAAAAAAAATTAGTTGTGGTTTGCAATTGCAAACCATAACTAATTTTTTTGTGTTTCATTTATCAAGTATTTTAAAAATTAAAATAAGAATATATATATATATATATATATATATATATATATATATATATATATATATATATATATATATAAAAGAATAGTCACATTGAACCGCATTGGAAAAACCCATAGTTTGGTTTTTGGTTTATAGAAAAAAAATTAGTTGTGGTTTGCAATTGCAAATCATACCTAATTTTTTTGTGTTTCATTTATCAAGTATTTTAAAAATTAAAATAAGAATATATATATATATATATATATATATATATATATATATATATATATATATATATATATATATATAACCTCCTCACAATCTTCATCCAACTTTAAGCGGCCACATCACACATCAGAAAAACTTGATTAACATCTTACGCATGTACCCCATAAGTAGGGCATAAAACTAAAAGCAAGACAATGTTTATTTTCCAAATTCACCTAAGTGGGGATTCTATAAGCAAAACACACCAAAGTAAAACATTAAGCTTAATCGGGACCAACTTACACCATCTAGTACCAACATCGGTCGAGCTTAAGGTTACATTATCAATGTAATATCTAACATTGTTGTGTGTGAACACCCCGTCTGGGTTTAACTTCCACTCTCATTTGTCACTACTTACTACCAATACCAAGCTCTACATGACTAAGAAGATCAGTCAAAATCGAGAGTTTCTTAGTAGTGGCACCGCCTCGAATTTCCCTATTCCAATTCCAACTCCAACCACTCTCCCGCCATCTATCAATAATCAAACACTTTTTCTCCACTCCTAATGCATAAAACCTAGGAAACTAGTCCATGAGCCTCAACTCACCCAACCACACTTTCTCCATGAACCGAGTATTACCATCATTCCTTATTCTTTATAATGTAAATTATCAAAGACCTTCACTATAGTCGACCACACCCTTCCTTTTTTCGGTTTAGGACCAAGACTACCCACACCCCCATATATGGCATGTATACTTTTGATTACCTTTACCCACATCAGACTCCCATAAGTAAGAAAGCACCACTTCCATTTTGCAACAAGGCCAAAATAAACGACTTCAAACTACCAATTCTCAATCCACATTTTTCTTTAGAATTCACAGTTTGATCCACTTTATCCAAAACATTTTCTGATTTGTATAATCTCCATCCCAAAAGAAGTGAATCATTAAAGACTCCAACGTTTTACAAACCATCTCAGGGACCTTGAATAAAGACAATAAATTCCAAGACTGGCAAGCACAAACCTAATCAATATAAACCTACCTTCAATAGATAACAACTTAACTTTCCAATTAGCAAGCCTTTTCTTGAATATCTCGATCACCATTTTCTAGTTATCCACACGACTTATACTCGTACCCACCGACAACCTAAGATATGAGAATGGCATATTAGCAATAGAACATCCTGTAATCATCGCAAGAGCTTCAACCTCATGGCTAGCTCTCCCAACCCCAAACAAGTTGGATTTAAGCAGGTTAATTTTCAACCCCAAAAATAAGAAAAAGCAATTCAAAATTGTTACCAAATTAGCGATATTCCTTTCATCCCATTCGCCCATGAACAAAGCGTCATCCACACAAAATAGATGAGACAAAGTCAAACCATCTTCACCTATAACAGCACCACGAAAAAGACCTTGGAGCATTGCATCCTCCATAATAACATGTAACGTTCCATAACAATAACAAACAAAAAGGAAGACAACGGATCTGTGACAACCGTCAATTTCCGATCAAGCCAAAGTCAAATAAAGTCAACAGGTCAAACCAATCAACTCATCCAACCCTTGTATATTAGGGTTTACATTATGTTACTATTGTACAACTCAATATTTTAATAAGAAGTTATCACTTGGAAAGTTCATTCGTTCAGAAAATCTAAACCCTAATAGGGGTAAGTGATGAAACTATTCGATAAAACATTATTCCATACCCCTCGGGGGCATATAACCATCATAACGAAGCTTAACGGGGTGTACGAACCTTGCGTTGCGAAGCTAAACATCTAAAAAGGGCAAAAACGAAGTCTCTCTCAATCTCTCTTTATCAATCTCTCTTTTTCCCAAATCTCTTTCATAACCTCCCTCAACTTTTTATAATAATTTAGGGGCATCCCGACCCTTAGTTTAGTAAAAAACAACTCGAAAACGGAAGTTTACGCGAAAAACAGCTTTAAGGAGTCGAACCCTCTTAGGGAGCCGAACCCTCTTAAGGAGCCGAACCTCTCATTAGAACCGAGACTAGCCTAAGAACCGAACTCATGAGGACTGAAACTAACATGGACCGAGACCTCCACAAGAACTGAACCCGAAGGTCTCATCGGACCGAACTACCCTTCGCTCTCGGTTCCTTCTGATGGCTTCGCCTGCGAGACTCGGACCGAACCCTTCTCTCGGTTCTCATGAATCAACCGAACTTCGGTTCTATTCATCCAAGGACCGAACTTCGGTCCTCCCAACCGAATTTTTGCAGATTTCACTCTTTTTCCCGGTTTTCGACCACTTTCGTGTTTTATGCCCGTTTTTCATGATTTTGACGTGGGATGTTCACCCAAACTCATATTTTGACATATAAGACCCTAAATATTCATAATTTAAACACATTTTTAGGAAAATCTTTATCTAAGAATAAAATCTAGTGGGTAAGATATTGAGGTGGAGTGTTGACTTTACCTTAAAGTTATAACACAAGCAACCCTCCACACCCACTTCATGGCCATACCCAGTCACTATTCATCACTACTTAGTCAATTATTTGTCCTTTCACCATCTTTCTCCAGCATATGAGGGTGATCAAGGCTGGAAATCTTTACTTGTCCTCCCACAGTCTTCACACTTTCACCAAGAATCAAACCCATTTCTCTCTCTAAAAACTCAAATGTGAAGGCTATTCTTGAACATTTCCCTCCAAGCTTGGTAAGTAACTTCATCCTACATCTGATCATCTTTCATTCTTTCACTCAAATCATGGATTCCTTACACAAATATCATCATCATCATTGTTACTAGATCTTCAAATCCTCAAGTATCTCCCAAGTGTTCTTGACTTGGAAACTCCTTTTCTTCATCATCCATCTACAGAAACCACTCAAGGTGAGTTCATACCCCCATATTTTCATGTCTTTTTCAAGTTTTAGGGGGAGAATACAAGTTAAAACAGCAACAACATAACTAAACTCAAACATCAGCTTCCAACAGAAAAGTTAATGTTCATTCACGAACTGTTTTGAACATCTTAAACTTTTTAGTTTTAAAAACTGTATTAGGTGCAAATATTTTTGTTTTATACCTTTAAAATGACTACTTGCACATATCAATCCGATTTTTGTATAAATTATGGTGATTTTTACAAAACTGTCTATCACTATAGCTACGAATTCGGACCTGACTGTGAATATGAGCATTTTCACACCAGTTACGAGCTTCTAAAAATCATAATAAAAATTGTGAATTTAATAGACACATTTTCCAAACTCTCAAAATTTACGGATCTAGTTTTCGATTTCGTATAAATTTTCAGTGATTTTTCTAATTCAGTGCAGAAATGGTAAAAACGAATTTACAGATTACAACTTTATTAACACTTTGTAACATGTTGAGCAAAGTGTAAATCTTTGATGGCTTCATATTTTGCATGTGCTTTCTGTTGGGATATAATTATATTACAGAAAAATGTTCACTAAATTGAAAGAACTCTTTATTATTACACTTAATGCATAGTAAGCATAGTTATGTTTTGCTATATAATCTACTTGCATAGAAAAAGAATACTACACATTACAAACATTTTGATAAACTATAATGGGTGTAGTTTATGTTACATATACATTACGAAGTAGTACATTTCAACAAAGAGGGGTTTTCAATTTCACACTACGTAAATCTGTTAATGAATAAATTTGTGAGACATTCGCTTCACGTTACTTCCAAAGTTGTAACGCCCCAAAATTACCGGTTAAAAATTTCATTTTTAATTTAGGTGAAAACATAAAACATCATTACAAACATTCATGATAAAAATCCATGTTTGAAAAACCGGTGACATCATAATCAGAATTCAGAGTACATCCCAGAAAATCTACAATGCGGAAAACAAAAGGCGTATGTGTGATGTGCTGCTACCGCGCCGGCTCCTTTCCTTTAGCTGAAGAGGTACCTGAAATCAAACTGCAAACCGTAAGCACAAAGCTTAGTGAGCTCCCCCATACCATGCAAGCATATAACAACAACATTCAACTATGAGATACGGGCCCTTGCCCACACTCGTGAAGATACGGGCCCTGCCCACACTTCGCTTTCTGGGAGATACGGACCATGCCCACACTC